CTGGCTGAGGGTCAGTGTTGGTGCCGAGCCTCCCGCACCCCCTCCTCCTCACGCCAGCTTTGGAATACCAAAGGCGTTTGGCCCGGTTTTCTGAAGAGATCCCGCAGAACTGAGATGCGTTTGAGGCTTGTCGGGTTGACGGTCTCTTCGAAAATAAGGATTTGGGGTGGACATCTAGAAATGAAGCACAAAGGATTAGCGAACGCTTCATTTGTAACAAAAAACAAAACGCCCTTTAATGTTTTTATGTGCATGCTATTCTGTCTAAAGTTTTCAGTCGTGAGGAATCTTTTGTATAATATCTACAAACTGCTACAGAAGCAGTTATTAGTGGCACTCTTTCAAATGTTAATGACTGAACCACAGACTCTGGAATAATGAATTTCCAGTCTGACATGTAAACACACAACTGAGAGTGTGGAAAGAGGCGGGGGGTTCTCTTGTAGGCTTTACAGTATGTGGTATTTCTCTGGCTGGAGCTGCTCGTAAGTTGTTGGAGGTGAGTCAGCTTTGATAGTGTCTCTTTTTTTAGCGTAGCTACGTTATACCAGTAACTGAAAATACATCAGTAAACAGTTGACCTGTGTTGTAGTTGCTTTATGTGACTGCATGTAAAGCTACAGTGGTAAAAACCTGACTTGTGGATATACAAAAACTTGGACGTTTTTGCGATGTGGAGCCTACCTCTTCTGTTGTGTTTGGGTGTTGGTGTTTGCTAAGTGGGTGTTGTTTGGTTCCTCTTCAAACCAAAACAGGATATTCTGTCTCTTTTATTGTATTTGGTTACACAGATGACATGAACCAGTGTTTTTTTTCAGGGTGAGGGACCAAGTAATTTTTCAGATGTGGTTTTTATGATTTTTATAATCTTGGAAGGACTGGTTTAGTAATTTAGAAATTTGAGGTGGAGAGAAGACTTTAAAGCTGTGGAGAAGTATAACCGAGTAAACACAAAGTAAATCGGATTTGTTCATCAAATATATGATGACTTTGATACCTCAAAACTTATGCAACTCTTTCGTGTCAGTTCTTTTTACTCTTCTCTTTCCTACCATAAGTTATATATTTGTTTAGCCTTATGTTACTTGTACCTCATACTGAAAAAGCAGACTGTGTGCTGTGAACTCTGATTCACTTCGTTAAATGTAAACTCCTTTTGCGTACTGTGATTGTCAGGAGCCGTGAAGAGGGAGCAGTTCAACAGATTTTGTATCTCCTCTAATTTGTTTGACTGAACCAACAGAAAAATAAGGTGGTTTTTTTGTTTTTTCCTGTTGAAAAGGAGTTACAAATACTACACTTTCCCTAACTGTTTAAGATTTCCAGGCGCTTTTTGGATCAGTCTTATTTCCAGTCCTTGCCACAATCTTTCTGCAGTGAGACCGTTTGACAGCAGGGTGCACGTAAGCCTTTAAATTGATCTAAAACCCAAAGCCATCCTTCAGATGCATTTGTCAGGCTGAACGCTTAGGCATTATTGTTGGCATGCAGCCTGGCTGTCACGTAGGATGAAGTCCCGTTCTGCTCTCCCTGACCAAAATAGTAGGTGCCTTATGCTGTTGATACGGAGCTGTCTGAACTGCGTGTGCTCGGAGAGCGAGGATGTAAACACAGAGTTCGGAGGGGATCTGAGCTTCTGGGCTGTGTCTGTAGGGCAACGCCATTGCTCCGCATCCATGTACAGACGTCGTTTTGTCATGGACTTAGGCAGTGCAAGTGCAGGAGAATTTACTGGCTGTTGACCAGTGTCAGCTGTGAATAAATCTGCGCTTATACACTGACGTTTAGTTAGAATTTGTCCCTTGGTCTGCAGGGCTTTTGGTGGTGACTTGGTCGTAAGTGTACTGTGATGTGGTCAGACCTCGTGTTAAGGCTAAAGAAGGGCTTTCGAAGCAAAGACAGTCGCTGCGTTTTCTTTCTTCTTGCATAACTCAAGAGGCTGAATAGGTGGGGTGGGTAGGAGCTGTCACTGAAGGGGTTCGTTCAGGCAAATTGCTCGTTGGGCGATTGGGGCTCGCTGGTTTACATTGTTCAGGGTCTTCTGTGAAACATTCCTGAAGTGGAAACATTGGTATACAGAAGGAGAGTATCTGGATCCTGTTCTTTGGTTGGGATACATATTTCTGTCTGGTCCAAGTGTATGTGAGTTTCAGCAAGTAATGCGTTTTTCCCTAGTCCAAGGATTAAGGAACTAAGAAGAATTTAAAATACTTCCATGATTACTTTAGAGATAAACACGTTTGTGGAACTGGTAGGAGGGAGCAGTACACAAGTTTTCCCCTCGCTCCCTTTTGAAGCAATCAGCTTGCCAGTCAAATAGGCTTATACCAAATTTAGCCACATTGCGCACATGGATCTGGGAGTGCAGGAAAAGCTCCGCTGACGGTCCCTCGCGCTTAGTCCCAGCAAGTGTGCTCTGGAAGTGTCACCGGCTGGTTTTCAGCTCCTGTTTGTGGCTGCAGTTTGTTCTCCTCTTCATCGTGGCAGCCAGCAGCAATTGCTCTTTCATAGTTTGCTATGTAGTACTGTAAATCCGAGCTGTATGTGGTGCTTTAAATTATTCTTGGAGTTAATGCTTTGCTCCCCACACACTTAAGCTAAACTGTTGGGCCGTTGGTGTAATACATGAGAAAATCTTACTGTGCGTCATCTTGTGGGTTTGTCTTTTGGAATACTGATAATCTGCATGTAATGCTTTGTGTACTCTCGGATTTGGAATGAGAAAATGCTTAGAAAATCTAGATACTGCTGTTAAATTATACTTGTGGGTGGAAGTATTTCATTTATATAAGACTTGTCATTCTATATTTGTAATTCTTAGATTGCAAGAAGACCCTCCTGTGGGTGTCAGTGGTGCACCATCTGAGAATAATATAATGCAATGGAATGCAGTTATATTTGGGTAAGAGTTTTTGATCACTATAAAATTCTATATCAAAGGGCTAAATATAATAAAACTTGTGTTTTGTTTTTACAATTACTCTCTTTTATGTACATGAAGCCAGGAGACTTAGAAAAATGACTAAGTGTGCTGTCGCACTAAACATCTTTTTTCAGCGGTGATACAGAAAGCGTAGGAAAGAAAAATTTAACATTTGTTCATCTTTTTTGTTGACTGAAGCTTGCATATGGCTTAACAAATAGGTTAGGCTGTGTAGGAGTTGAGTTATGAAAAAGCAGGCCTCCTCTTTAAAGTATGTAAGAACCACATGTTCTCAAGGCATTAAAACCAGATGTATTAGCAGTGATTGGATTGATGCCCAGTAGAACGAGGTACAGGTTCTGTCTAGGAAGTTATATTACATACCCTACAGAACAGGAACTGGCTTGGTATCCTTTCATAAAACTGCAGTATGCTTGCTAGTAATTTGCTCATTAATTTCGATCTGGTCATGTAATGGCGTATGTGGTGTTTGGGATGAAGATAAAGTAGATAGCTCAACTAGCAGATTGACTATGGGAAAGTGTCTTAGGTATGACAAAGCTCTCAGAGATTGCCTCTGGATACGTCTCTAAATATTCAATACCTGTATCTTGGGGAGGATGAGGAAGAAGGTACAAATTTACTGTGCCTGTTCAGAAGTAGGTAATGATCATTTTTAACTGGAGTTTGTTTTTAAAACCTTTCAGGCCAGAAGGGACACCTTTTGAAGACGGTAAGCAGCTAACTCTTTATTTCCTCTGTCATTCTTATAAATATTGCCAGTATTAACATTGTTCTGCTTTGAGAAAATAATAGATGTTATCTGTATATAATTTGGAACAAACTAAGCAAGCAAAAAAGTGAAAGAGTAAGGTCTTGTTGGCTATAAAAGTACTGTATTTTGATGTAAGCAGGTTCTTGTCATAGTGGTTGATGGTTAGTTAGAAAGCTAGGAAGCAATGCTTATATCAAGGCTTGTTTATACGTAGATACTAGAGCTTTGAGTGCGGGAAGCTGGTCTAATGCTGCCAGATGTGTTTTCACATCTCCATAGCTAAGCTGAACAAGACAGCGTGCTTTTCTGGTGTCATCTTTGTGGCATGTTTGTTTCATCTTTGTTCTCCTAATGAAGAAGAGGTGAAAAATCTTGAATTGTTCTGAATATAGAACTCAGTGAAGGGGAGGGAATACCGAATTTGTACATAAACATGAAAGTTCGTGTGTAATGAACTTCCCTTAGGCATATGAGGAATAATGAGTTTAATAATTATAGTATTATTGCAGTAATCAGCAGCAGATGGGTTTTTCTCTGTGTTGGGTTGGAGGAGTTACAGTAAATTATTCACTGATCCATAATAAAGGTTTTTGGTGAATCAGTCATGGGCTCCAAAAACTGAGATTGCTGATTATGAAATTCCAGTGTTTCTTTGCTGGCACCACAGTGCCTCCTTAATGAAACGCCTTAAAGTCACCAAAGTCCATGGAACCAGCATGTTGGGTCACAGAAAAAGGGGAGGGCAGTGGGATAATTGATGTTGGATCTAGCTGCCTTTGCCAAGTATACACTGAGCACCCAAGCTTCTACCTTGCTGCTGCTGCTGGGTTTATTACTATCACTAAGCAGTAGTTCCATAGCTCCATTATCACTCAAAATATAAGAAAAGAAACCAGACTCCATGTTGTTTGTTTATATAATGGTGAGAAGAAATACTGATCACGGAGCACGTAAATTAACTTACCTTGTGTATCTTCCTGGAGATGGTTTTTGTTGTTCATTATCTGATTGTATTTATGTTTGTTTGGACAGGTACTTTTAAACTAGTAATAGAATTTTCAGAAGAATATCCAAATAAGCCTCCAACTGTTAGGTTTTTATCAAAAATGTTCCATCCAAATGGTGAGTAAATCATTTTTATTTAGTCGTAATACTCATTAAATATTATGATGTGGTCAGGTATTCTGCGAAGCTCCAGAATGCTTGACAGCTCTCCATCTCTCTTCATGGCCACTTCCTAAGTAGATGTCTAGGACAGCAGCTGCTTGATGAAAAATTAAGAATGATGATGCTATTAAGAAGCAGCTATCTGTCTCTTTCTAATCAATATATAGCCTCAGTAGCGAAGCCTGTGAGCATTTTCAGCAGCAGCTGCACTTAGCTTGGCTTAAAGAGGCAATTCTGGTTGTAGATTCCTGCCCCCTTCCATGTAACAGCAATCGTGTATGTGCAGCCACGTCGTGAATCCGAGTAGGGAGCTGATTGAGCCAAATGTTATTTATTTCTGTCAGGCGAGATTTCAGCCAAGTCCACAACTTTGGTTCACTGTACCAACCAGTACTACCACAAGGAGGAAGGTGAGAATGCAGCAGGGGAGCGCAGAGGAGGTGGCTGACCCAAACTCAGTGATGAGGGCAGCATTATGAGAAAGAGTGCCATCGTTCCTGCTCCAGCACTTGATAGGTTTTATTCAGTTTTTCTTGCATGCAGAAAATGCAAAGCATGCCTTTTGCTTTTCTAAGCCCCTCTGTAGCAAAGGGGGGTATAGATTCAATTTGAGGGCTGAAGCATAAGCCCATTCCAGCATTTCTTGTAGCTTGAGCCCTCCTTGAACAGAGGCTGACCTTGGCTTCAGTTCTGTGACATTTTAGACAGTACCCTCTAACCATTCATCTGTCCCATACCATGCAGGCCAGTATGCCTCTGACAGAGTTTGTGTAATTTGTTGGGTTTTGTTGGCACGAACAAACTAGTAGAAGATTAGAGTGTAGGAGTTTGAGTGGCGAGTCTCAGTTTCATACAGGCTCTGTTAAGACTGCTGATAGGTACGCAGACAGAAGTAGGATTTCAGGAACACTTTGCAATATTTTCTATTGTCTGCCTTGGTGTGTCTCATAGTGAGTGTAGAGTATATGAAAAGGGGGTAAGAGCTCCCACTGTTCAGAATGTGATGGCTGCAAGATCCTCGGCTGGTGCAGTGGATTCCACTCCTGCAGTGAATCTCTCGCTGCTCTCTGGGAGGCCTCTCCTCTGTGTGAACATGAGCCAGTCATGCAAGGGAGCAAGAAACCAAGTCTGCCAGTTCCTGTGCTAATGCCATAATCTTTAGACCTTCCTTCTTTTCCTCATAAATTTTCTGTTACGTACAGTAATATATCTCCTCAAAATACAAGGTGTCAGACTGCAGAAGATTGTGAGACATAACAGCTGTCCTCTTTCCTAAAACACTAATTTAAGCACAGACTGAATTGGAACAGTGACTCTGCCTTGAACAGTATGTAATGAACAAACTATAAAATCTGATAGTTTCTAAATGATATCTATGTTGTATTTACAGTTTATGCAGATGGTAGCATATGTTTAGATATTCTTCAGAATCGCTGGAGTCCAACCTACGATGTTTCATCTATTTTAACTTCAATTCAGGTAACTTTCTATCTATTTTAGCAAACGATTATGTTGTTGTCAGTCTCTATTCCAGCATATGCAGCTCAGTGATGGGGCTACCAGGTATCTATATCAAGGGAGACTTCAGAACTTGAGCTAAGCAGTAGCTTTTTAGATCAAATAACGGCTAAGGTGCTGACCTATGTAATTACTAATTTTGAGCTACAAAACTGCCATTAAATATATTTTTACAGGAAAACAATTACTGATTTGGATTCCTTTTTAACTGTTTTTAGTCAAGGTAGGAAATCAGATGTAGAAATTGGCCGAGTGTTTGAAACACTAACCTTTATCATGAAGCCTTGCTCTATGCAGTGCTCAAGGACACGATGCTGCCGAAAGCTGCTTTAGTTGGAATAAGTAAAAATGGCCTGGCACAGCAAAAATGTACTACTATTTTTTTTTTTTTTTCCTTCTCCTGTGTGATTGTTTCTGTTTTTCTACAGTGGAGTTTTGTAGGAGGCATCTTAAGGCCCTCTTTAGTCCTGAATGACAACAGTAGTGTAATTACCAAATAATCAATTAGCATCAGACTGCTAACTGGCACAAATGACTATGTATCTGTTAGGTGTGTGAACCCAGAAGTGTATGCAGTGTTAATGCTTATGCAGTGTATAATTTGAGGTTCAGTAATGTAATTACGGGTGCCTAGCTATGACTTTAACTGTTTTGGGTTTTGGTTTTTTTTCCTCACTTGGGCTCTTCTGAGTCATGTCTGTTTCATGAAACACATTTGATTTGAATGTTGTAAGTTGATTTTTTTTTTCTCTGATTTAGAGTCTGCTGGTTTGTCTCATGTTTTGTTTTCCCCTTTTTACAGTCTCTGCTTGATGAACCTAATCCAAACAGTCCAGCAAACAGTCAGGCGGCACAACTTTATCAGGAGAACAAACGTGAATATGAGAAAAGAGTTTCAGCTATTGTCGAACAAAGTTGGAATGATTCGTAACAGCTGCTTTGTTACTCTCCATCCTCATAATCATTATGTACACTATAACTCTCAATAGAAAGGCTACCAGAAATTTCAAGTGCCACAGTTCTAAGAATTTGCATAAAAACTCATTTGCAAACAAAATTAAGCCCTCCAGTTTAGGAAACTTAAAAGCTTGTGTATCTTGATTAACGTACTTTTTATTGCATGGTATGAACTAAGTTATTGCTACATAAATTTGTAATATATCCTGTTTGTATTTTTTTTCCAAGTGTATAATGTTGGTGTGGAGTTTTCATGACAGAATATACACATTTTGTAAATCTGTACTTTTTCAAATATTGAATGCCTTATTTTTGAATTCTTTAGATTTTTAAATTGGAGAAAAAGCACTTAACAAAGTTTTTATATAGAAATATTTCATGTAAAACTGTTAAATACATAACCTTAGTGCAAGACATTCTGCTCTCACTCTGTATCTCTTTCAAAGGGCTCATTTTTAGTCCATTTTTCCTTTTGGTACATGCTGATTATACCATGCACTTTACAAACAGAAAAATTAATCCATGATGTAACTGTCTTCACTAGATGTCTCTGCATCTGCACCAGAGCTGAACTTGATTTTGTGTGTCCTCAGTTGTATGAGGAAGAGAAGTACTGGTAGCTGCCAACTTACAAATGGGGAAACAGATGTAACTGTTTTGCTAGAAGTCCAACTTTAAACCAGCAGCTGAGTTGCAAACAGGACCTGGATGACCAGGCTTGATGATGATGGTGTATTCTAATAACTTTTATTTTTCAGGGAGACTGTATTTTATCAAGTTGTAAAATGTTGTCATCTAAATCTGTCCTATATTCCCATACTGATACTGTAATATAGTTTTGAATATCTTCTAATAATTAAAGAGGTATCCCATTAGTTTCCCTTGGGGGTAGGGAAAAAAATTAATCACCAACAGAAGAATACATGCCTGCAGATTTAATGGAGTTATTCTTTAAAACTTGGCTGTGTACCATGTGGTCAGGTCTTGTGTCTGTATCACAGAGGTTCCATATATTCTTAAATGGCCAATTTTAAAGAAGTTTGGGTTTGGTTTTGTAAGTGTTGATGTGGTAATTTCTTACTGTATTTTGTAAACCAGGCTGCATGACTAAAGAATTAGGCCTTTTTTTTTTTTCTCTCCCAGCAGTAAAACTGTAATCCCTTTTGTCATAATTTCAACCAGCATTACATATGTATTAAAACCCCCAAAACATCCCATAACAAAATACAGCTCGGTGTTGCGTGAAAAGCAGTGGAAGTTTACTTCAGCGAGAAAAGAAAATGTTTATTTGCAAGAGTCATTACTAAAAGTTAGTATTGGTTAATGCAGTGAAACAGGAATATCAATTTACACCTCACACTTGCTCATAAAGTTGTTTTGTATTTTGTAGGAGCAGCACTATTAAGTTTGGAAACTGCTGTAAGAATATTAGTCAAGCTGTTAGTAGCTTGAGCAAAACTCCTGTTCTACTTTAGATAAGAATTGTTAGAAAACTGTAGCTAGTGTGCAAAGGCTCAGAAGCATTAGTGCTAAGTAATACTAAACTACCATCTTGATAAGTCCGTTTGCTTTCCTTGAGTCAGTGAATTTGTGTTTAAAAATTCTTCAATCTAGGTCTAATTATTAACAGAAGCCCCAAAGGATCCAATTTGCTTTTTGACTATGGTGAGACTACAGTAACACTTGCAAAGCAGTGTTACATAGCTCAAAGGAGCACCAGCCTGAAGATTTTTGTTCACAATACAGAAAAGCTTCCTCTTTCTAAGAATTAGTCCAAACTTTGAAGATTTTTTTTTTTAAATTTTGTCTCCTGTTTCAGTATTTTTTTTTGTTCCTTTGACATGTGCATGAGATTTGCCGTTCATTAGAGTCGATGTGAATTTGATTATTCCTAAACAGCCAGTTTTAAAATTTTGTCTCCTGTTTCAGTATTTATTTTTGTTTGACATGTGCATGAGATTTGCCATTCATTAGAGTCCACGTGAATTTGATTATTCCTAAACAGCCAGTTTAGCCTAGTTACAGATTGATTAAGCTCAGAAAATGTTTTTGTGTATCTAGGATGGAGGCAGCATATGTCAGAAACATAATTGGAGCAGAAGGAGGTTTAATTAGTGATCAGTGCTGCAAACTTGAAGCGCCTGTGCCTGAGCAGGGACCCACAATATATAGACAGACACATGTGTGTGTTTGAAGGTGTAAGAGTGGTCTACATGTGTGTGTGTGAAGGCGTAGGAGTGGTCTCTGTTGTAGGTAGGATTTGGAGCCTACAGTGAGTAGCTAAACTCTGGGTGGAAACTGTCCTGGTGTCCCACAGACAAAGGTGGTTACTGTATTCCCAGTGTATGGTGGGGAGAGACATTCCCTTGTTTGACTGGATTTTGCATGTTAATGCTGTGTGATGACTGCAGAATCTGGATGACAACAGGCCAAGGGTGAGAATCCAGGTTCTTGATGATGACCTGTGAGTAGATGCTGGTGTAGAGGAACCAGTGTTTCTTCAGGTGGGAGTCCTCGAGTGCACAGGAGACCGCACAGCATCCCACCTGAGAGCTGCGAGGTGGAAAAAGGATTGGTGACTTCTGCAAGCCTTCCCAAAGAACACATTAAAAATAATCACAGAGTATAGATTAGAATCTGTTAAAACTTCATAGAAGAGCAATTTGATTACGAGGCAAAATGAGCCCATTGATTACGGTGTAAAGGAATGTAACACAGCCTAAGCTAAGCCTATCTCAATGTGCCATCGCTTTGCTCTTTCCACTGATGACTGACTGATGCTGCCTGCTCAGGAAGGCTGTCTTGCCGACCCGGACTCAGATTCCTCCTGAAGCTTGTGTGTAAACATCACTAGCTGGTTCATTTTTACCGATTGTTCAGGCTGGTGTGATTTCCTTGCACTCCCTGGTCCCTGCCATCCTCCAGGACTCCTCGGGTGGAAATGTGCCTGCACTGGGGCTGGTCCTGCCTGGCTGTGAGCTGCCCCGGAGCGTGCCTTGCAGGAGCTCAGCTCGCTGATTTATCATCTTCCCTGTACGTTTATTAACTTCTCTGAATAGGGTTCCTTATGGAGGAGTTCCTTAGTGACAGACACCCTGTGCTGTCTGCAGACCGCCGGCGGCGGCAGGCTCCACACAGACCGGAAGGCCTACGCCTGCCTC